TTTATTATACACATTCAAGGTGTCAAAATTATACGAAAAATGGGTGTAAGGTGAACACGTGACCACCTATTTTTAGGTGGTAACACCTCATGCAATTCACAAAGAAAAAGATAGTTGACGAAAGGTCCACCCTATAACAATAGATTAGCATAAATAAAAAGATTGTTTTGAAACATTTTAAGCAAACACTTAACCATCCTCCACCAATTTCAAAATAACATATCCAAGGTAGGTCAACACAACGTCTTTTTTTTCTTTTTTTTATGAGATTACCCCTCGATCCGATGATCTATTCTTGGACCTTTTTTAAAAAAACTTAAGTTACAGTCCAAGGATGAAATTCTTCGACCAAAACTTAAATTTTGAAAAAAAAAAACTTAAAAGCGATCCGGGGATGCCTTAAGTTACGGGCCGAGAATTTTAACCTTGGACCAAAAGTCAAGTTTTGAAAGAAAAAAAAAAACAGTTCGAGAATGTCATTCTTGGACCGCAACTTTAAGTTTTGAAAAAAAAAAGAAAAGAAAAGAAAAGGTGATCCGAGGATGACATCCTCAGATCGAAAGGTAATTTTGTCAAAAACAAAAATCGACTTGATCGACCTTGATTGTAATTTTCAAGTATAAAATGAACAACGCTTATTTTTCTTATTTATTTAAGATCAGTACGTAAGACACACCCCTCTCCCAACATATCACGAAAGGTAGTGGACCCCCTTCGAGAAACGTAGTGGACCCTCTTCAAGTTATGGAACTGAGATGTTTAACCCCCTTGCTTGCCTTTTCCTAGTACAAATTATAATAGTGCTGCATTTGTTTTTGGTAATTCTCCCATAGTCCAACCGAATAAAAATTATGTTATTACGATTGGACGGGATATTGAGCCGATGAGGCATCTGGTCTACTAAAATTGATGAGGCACCTTTGGTTTGGGTAGAAATATTTTTCGAAAAATATTATCATGTGAAACAAAAGTGAAAGTCGAACTAGGTTTTTAAAAATTAAGGAAAAAATAGGAGTAATAGTTCAACAACATAAAAGATATTACAAAAAATGAAATAAAAAACGAGTTCAGCCCATCAAAACTAACAAGCTTTAATCTAATTTTCGATAAGTTTCCGACCAAATCTAATTTTTGCTGTAAGCAGGACCAGATAAGACACTCGCTGACCGTCCGATTAGTAGAATCAGGCAATCCAATGCAATCTTATAACTATGATAAAAAGCACTCTCTCCTACAGCCCATGAACCTCTCTCTCCTTCTACTCACCCATGAAACCCTCTCTCTTTCCTCTTAATGAGAACTATATTCTTTGTGGGTGATGCTTTTGTTCTCATTTCAAAATCATAAAAGGAGAAAATCTCACTGGTCTTTAAAGAGAGAAGTTGCTTTCGTTGCCATTGGTCTTTAAAAAAAGCGAGAACTCTGGCTAGTTGACCTCTTGTTGTACAACACAATGCACAAATATACTTGTATATATGATTATATATGGTCGAATTATATAAACAACCTAGAGTTGATATTATATATGATATCCTTATTTTAAAGGGCGAGGTTTGTATAAGGTTCCAACCATAAATGATCAAAGTAAGACACACGTCCAAACTTTGTCATAAAATACAATTTTGGGGTAATTTGTTTTTGTTAAGATGGCCTAAGAATCTATTTTTATCTCTAATTATAAACTTTTAAACTTCAAAAATGATTTAAATCAAGCTAATTTATAAATACATGAAAATCTTGAAAATAGACGATCCAAATAATATTATTACAAAACGTGCTACTTTTTAGAACTTGTAAAATTTTCTTCTTTCTTTTTTCATATTTATACATGTCCATGTTGAGATGATCAATTAGATAGTTTTTTCAATATCAAAATAGCCTTTCCCATATTTTTGAAGTGAACTGTATTTCTACAATTTAAGGTACCAACTTTATACAAACTTTCCCTATTTTAAACACTCCTTGTGGATTAATCTTGTATTCGAAGAGAACCTTGTCATGCAATTCGTTACATTCACGAAGCTCAAAACAGTCTTTGTAGGAAGCAGCAGTAAGAACACAAGGTGCATACCTTATGGAAAACAAAAACCAAAACACCAAAGAATTGCATCTTTCTCCATCCTCTTCTTAATACCAGCTTTCCAGACACCCCTAAAAAAAAAAATTTACTTGCCTAGCAGTCATGTCTTTTTACTCCTTGTTCTTTTTGAACCTTCCATTTGAATTAACTCACACATCCTAACAGGTATTGTACTACGTTAACTTCTCTCATCTTATCACCTATTGAAACCACATCCAAATTCTTTTGAATGTATTCATTTTGAATTCTATCACGTATTGTCTTGCCACTTATCTATATCAATATCTTCATCTCAGCTGCACTCATCTTATAGATATGTTGTTTCTTGACCGCCCAACATTTCGCCCCATAAAGCACCGTTGATTTCACAATTTCTGATAGAACTTCATCTTAAGCTTTATGGGTATGCGGCCATCATATAAAACTCTGGTTGTACATCTACACCTCGCCGCCCAACTCTGCGGCATTTTCTTCAATCTCTTCATTTTTCTTGATTATCGACTTTATATCTCAAAATTGCACTCTTTTAGTATTTTTACTCTCGGAATTATTTGGTGGAACATAGATATTTAAGTTGGAGAACTCAAAATCTTCTTTTTTTTTTCTCTTTTACTATAAAAGGTAGATAATAGAAGATTCCTAACTATGTAACAATAATAATAACAATAATAATAATAATAATAATAATAAATGATTTTAAGCACCAAGTATACAAATTGATCCTAAGGGACCACCATTTAAAGGCAGTAGAATGACGACTCTCCTACGACGGTGAAGGTGAAAGGGTTAGAACGTTTGAGTCCATGTGCGCCATCATTTTGAGCTCAATAAATAGAAAGGCAACATGCAATGCCATCAAATTCTAGTAAGAAGGTTCTTATTAGATTTGTGCACGGAATGGGAAGGAAGTTTTATGTTTTTATAATATCACAATTATTTGAATAGTTGAACGAATTGATAGTTAAAAAAAATTCAACACAAACCATGTCATTTAGAATTAATAGAAATTTTATGAACATATCCCCACAAATTCCCATTATTTTAAGAAAGGGTGTGGTTTCTATAAGGTTGCAACATTAAACAATCCAATTAAGGCGCATCTCCAAATTTTATCATAAGTAATGTTGGTGTAAAAAAACATTAGTATTATCTTAAAATCTATTTTCATATCTAATTATAAAATTTTAAACTCCAAAAATAGTTAAAATCAAGTAGATCTATAAACATATGAAAATTTTGAAAATGGACAGCCTAGATAATGTGTTGCAAGATGCAGTACTCAAAATCTTTTTCTTTTTTTTAAAATATTTATGCATCTCGATATCGAGATGATCAATTAGAGTGTTTTTTAACATTAAAACAACATTTTCCAATGGATTTTTGAGGCGCATATGCAATTCTACATTTTAAGGTTGCAACCTTATATAAACTTTTGCCTTTATGTTCCTGTTCATTTTAATCTTGAAAATGGACGGTCTAAATAATGTGTTGTAAGATGCACTATTTTTTATGCTCAAAATCGTTTTTTTTTCCATATTTATACATCTCGATATCGAGATGATCAATAAGAGGGTTTTTTAACATTAAAACTACATTTTCCAATGGATTTTTGAGGCGCATATGCAATTCTACATTTTTAAGGTTGCAACCTTATATGAACTTTTTCCTTTATGTTCCTATTCAATTTTTTGTTTTAAAATAACCAAATTGTCCGTATTTGACCTTTAAGTGTAACTTTTTGCCTCCTATAATGCTTAAAATTAATTCGTACCTTCAAGGTTTAATTTTGTATGAGTGTATATCTAGAAAAAGGAAAAGTTTATATAGAGCTGAGGCTCTAAACAATCAAATTACAGCCTACCACAAAAATATCACTAGAATAGGTTGTTTCGATGCCCAAATATCCTCAAATTGATCATCTCGACGTCAAGATGTATGGACATGAGAAAAAAATGCATTTCAAGTTTTGGAAATAGTGTATTTTGTAACGTATTTTTACACCGTCTATTTTCAAGATTTTCAAGTTTTTATGGACACATCGATCTACACTATTTTTAAAGCTTTAAATTTTATGATAAAGATGGAAATATATTTTAAGGCTATCACAAAAATTTCCAGTATTGAAACCACATTTCGCGACACCATTTGAAGTTAGGCTCTAATTTGATTTTTTAGAGCCTACGCTCCATACAAACCACACTCTTTAGAAAAATACTTCAAACTCTTGAAGATCCGAATTTGAACCTTTTTTCTATACTTCCTCTTTAAAAAAATGTAAAGAAACATCGGACCTTAGGTTTAATTTTCTTTTCTTTATTTTTGAGTGTTGTTCAAAACACACTTCCAACATTGAAGGTGCGAAGTTTAACATATATTAATTTGTTTTTAAATAAGGGCATTTTGAAAAAAAATAAAGGGCAAGGACAACGGACATAATGTTGAAATGATAAGGACTTTTCTAATGAAAATAATTAATAGTATGTTAATATATTTACATAAGGGTGTAGTTTGTATAAGGCCGAGGCTTTAACAATCAAAGTAAAATGCACCTTCAAATAGTGTAAAAAAATGTGATTTCAATATTGAAATCTTTGTGATAGCTTTAAAATAATATATTTTCATCTATAATTATAAAATTTAAAGCTTAACAAATAGTATAAATCGAGCAGCTCTATGAAAACTTAAAAATCTTGAAAATTAATGGCCCAAAAATGCATTACAAATGCATTATTTCCAAATCTTGAAATCCATTTCTTTTCTCATGTCCATGCATTTAGAAGTGGAGATGATCAATTTGAAGATATTTGGGCACCAAATAAAGAGGTGCGCCTTAATTTAACTGTTTAGAGCCTCACATTTATATAAACTTTTCCTTTACCTAAATATCTCTAAAATTAAACTTCTATTACTCATGGTATTAAATATTTATCATCGGGCCATTATATTTATAGAACAAGCTATTAACATTAACAGTCCATAATTCCCATTTTCATCATTTTGCCTTCACCGTTACCATGAAAATAAAAAGTTTCATCCATCATTTTTTGGAGAAGGCTTTGAAATTCAAAGGTGAAGGAACCCTAAATAAACTTACCCAAAAAAAAAGGAACCCTAAAGAAATAGGGGCAGTTGTTTTTTTTTTTTTACCTTTTGAGTTTTAAGAAACAATGGTCATTATTTATTAGATTTATTTGGGGCAATATTTGCTTTTTATTGAACTGTCTAAAATACATGAGAATATCGAAGAGGCCGAGCCCATTTATTGGGGCAATATTTACTCCTTTTTTTGGCTTAAATTGTCCATAATACATGAGAATATCGAATTTCTCTGTTGTGATTTGGCCGAAGAGAAGAGTGTCCGCCTCCCAAAGCAATACTTTCAAATTCGCTTCGCTTCGCTTCTACTCCAGTGGAAAACTCAGGTTTGGGCGAAGCAAAAGCAAAACTTTGAAAGCGAAGCAACTTCGGCATTATTGATGGCCTTTAACTCACACGTCCACCCGGATGTCTCCATATGAGGTGGTTTATGACCAGCCACCTCCGACAGTGATACCATATGTCATAGAAGCTACTAATATTGATGTTGTGGATAGAAGTTTGACAGCTCGAGATGTAGTTCTCCAGCATCTAAAACAAAATTTGGAAGGGGCCCAAAACCGTATGAAGCAGCAAGTTGATTGTCACCATTCAAAATGAGAATTTGAGATAGGTGAGTTGGTATATCTTTGTTTACAGATGTGTCGTCAGTTTACTGTGGAAGTTCGCCACGAAGCTATGTTTGAGATATTATGGCCCTTTTCCCGTTATTCAGCGAATCATGAAAGTGGCATACAGGTTGTAACTGTCTGTTGGGTCTCGTGTGCACCAATGTTCCATGTATCTTGCCTAAAAAAGAAGTTAAGCAAGCTTGTTGTTCTACAGGTAGATCGGCCAGAAATTGATGAAGAAGGGACATTCAAGCATGAACCTATTGCAATCTTGGACAACAAGCTAGTTAACAAAAGAAATCAAGCTATGACGAAAGTCTCAATGCATTGATCTAACACAAACCATACTAATGCAACTAGGGAAGTCTGGCACCTTCTAAAAGAGAAGTATCCACATTTTCAACCTTGAGGACAAGGTTGAATAAGCCTTCAGTCCTGAATGGTAAGAGTCGCTTTATGTTTTTATTTTCGTGACTTGTGGGTGAGGGAATCATTCCATTTAGTAAGTTGTGCTGCAGTAGAGTTGTTTGTTAGGATGGTTTCCTTTACGAATTTGCTAACTGATGTTTAGGGGATTTGATAGCTATAGTGGTGAAGAAAAGGGACTTTGTATGTAGCTGCAAATTGGTAAATGAAATTTCCCTCCCTTACTCCCCTCATTAACCCAACTCTCTCCCTCTAACCCAACTGCCCCCGACCCCTTCATTAACCCAAAACACACACACACATACTCCAATTCATAGAAACTTCTTTCTAGTTCCATCTTGCTCTAATCATGTCTTCCTCTCTAGAGATTCACTGCATTTAACCTATTTCAAGTATAAATGGACTTTCCAATGCCGATCAAATGCAAAAAAGATTTTTCATAGAAAATGTATTTCCTAATAATTAGTTTAGTAGACAACTTTTTCCCAAACGGGGGCCAAAGGAAATGCTAATTCACTTTGAAGTGAGTGTTTCAAAGTTTGCATATATATATATATATATGTGTGTGTGTCTAAAAATTGAGTCGGGAAATTTATCAAAAGACCTATAAGAGATGGGACAGTTTAACAATTTGCCCATATATTTTGATTTATTTTCAAGATACTCGTAGTTGCAAATGGGTAAAACGTTAAATAATAGGTATTTTGATCAATTACCCCATGGAATTTAAAAGCCATGATCAAGTCCTTATCCCCAGATATTCCAGAAGCAAATAAAAATGATTTTCTTTGTGTTTTGAAGTGTGTACATGTGTGTAAAAAAATGAATTTAAAAACTTGTCCGCATACACCACGGGGCAGTTGATTGAGCACACCAAACTGTACAGATCTATCCTCCAGACATCCAAGATCAAGATTATGGGAAAGAAACTGAAAAAAGAAAGAAGAATAGGAGAGGACTAGGAAACCTAAAAATACTCCATCTTGAATGCTATCTCAATATCTTCTTTAGGATGTTCAAGCCTGAATCAATCATGTCCAAACCATATTAGGAGCTCCTAAAATCCAGTCTTTACATTGGAAACTGTGAGGGTTTCATCTTAATTCATAGGAAAAGTGGACTTTCACAGTATTTTAGTGTGGAGGGGACCATACCATTTACTGTTTCTTTTACACAAATTTGCACTTGTTAATGAAATTCAGGGAAGAAACACAAGCTCAAAAGGGACCTAAAAGCAAAATCATAAAACGGGATTCCAGGAGGGAAGCATGGGTTCAAAGAAACCTCGCCACGCTACAATCGATTAACATAGGGAGGGAGCTGGATTCTTTACAGAACGCCATCCCAGACCTGCAACAAAAACAATCTGAAAGTGGGTTACAACTTGCAGACATGAAACCCTCAGAAAGTGTTTGCATCCAAAATTCAATCAAATTAAGCATGTTTCTAATTTCTCACTATAGGTCTTGCTTTTTCATCTATCAATTGTATAATCCTTACGGCTAAGGCTTAAGCCAAGTACCTATTACCTTGGACACCCAAGCAACTCATATATGAACTACTGAAAATCATTTCTTTCCCTCTTTCCTGGTATACAAGATGTGACCATTCAGGATGCCAACTCTGGAAAATATCTTAACCATAGTGCCCACCTAGGCAACAGACTCCAAACGACTTCTATATGGTGTGGTGAGTGGAGGAGACTGTAGAGGTTAAAGCTAAGATGGGAGGATTTGGGTTTCTATGTTGGGTCTCTCAGAGGCATCATAAGTTGATGCCAGTATTGGTAGTGGCCTAAAATGCAGCCATTCAATGTTTTGTAATTATAGAACATATTACATAATAAGTTTTTCAGAATTATGATTCTACAGTATCTTTATATAATTCAGATGATGAAAGAAAATCCATTTAAGAAGATTAGGAAGGAAAGAATATAACAGAAAATATTAATTTCTTCAAATTTTAAAAGAAGAACAATCCTTTTCTCATTCCAACATCCAAGAGAGCAGAACACAATGGCTGCAAATAAATCATTCCATGGTTCCAAACAAAATCAAGGATTTTATAGCCATGTCCTAAACAAGCCACCCCAAGTCCAACAGATATCAAGAATCTATACTGACCTAGAATTACAAGGTTCTATTATATAATTTATATTATCTCTCCATCACAGAGAAAGCCCAGTAAAAAGCAACCCCAGCTCTTTATTTTGTGAGGTGGTCCTTTTTTGCCAGTACATTATAATACAAAATATCAAAGCCCTGACGCCCTAAATAAGCCCCTGCAAATCGAGCAGATAAGTACAGTAACTCAAAACATACTGGCTCAAGAATCTATACTGAACTATAATTACATGATTCTATTAGATTACCTCTCCATCACAGAGAAAGCCCAGCAAAAAGCAACTCCAGCTCTTCATCTTGTGAGGTGGTCCTCTGCCAATACATAAACAATACAAAATAAAAAATTATAAATTATGATAATAAACTTTTCAAAATAAATTAATAAGTAAATAATTGCTTTTAACAGAGATAACTGACCACAACGGCGAAAAAACCGTTTTTATAGGAAACCCATAAGTAATTCCTATCCGATAAGACTTGGGCAAAAGAATAATATTTGATAAAAAGCATGGCCCATGTTGCTTGTCCCAAATGACAATCTTTCAAACAAAACTAATTCTGAAACTGCTTCCTCCCTTATTGTTTTGATGTTGGATTGTTGAAGCAACCTTCTCAAAAAAAAATCTTTCAAACAAAACTTTTTAATATATAAAACACATTTAAGAATATCAATATTTTTTTTTTTTTTGGAGGGTGGGGAGTGAATAGTGAGTTGGTTATCAACAACTTTTAGGATATATACCATAAAGAATAAGGGAAAAGTTTATATAGAGCGGAGGCTCTAAACAATTAAATTAGAGCCCACCTCAAAAATCTCACTAGAAGAGGTTGTTTAGATGCCCAAATATCCTCAAATTGATCATCTCGACATCAAGATGCATGGACATGAGAAAATAATGAATTTCAAGTTTTGAAAATAGTATAATTTGTAACACATTTTGGACCGTCAATTTTCAAGATTTTCAAGTTTTCATAGATCTGTCGATCTACACTATTTTTAAAGCTTTAAACTTTATAAATAACAATGACAACATATTTTAAGGCTATCACAAAGATTTCCAGTATTGAATCCACATTTCTCGACACTGTTTGAAGGTAGGCTCTAATTTGATTGTTTAGAGCCTAGGCTCTATACAAACCGCACCCATATAATAAAATGCAAAAATACATAAAAAGTGCCAGTTTTTCCCTAGTCCAGGATCCAAAGCATCTGTAAAGAATCAATTTTGAAGCAAGGACCCTGCCATAAAGAGATTCTTATGACAAAGGGCGTGAAAGAGAATGCCAATTCATAATACCCTCAACAAATCCAACATCAAAACAATAAGGGAGGAAGCAGTTTTCAGAATTAAATGGAAGACTGGTATATAAGTTTTTGTTAAGAAAGAAAGAGCCTAGAATCATGTCAAATAGAAGTAAAGTGGAACATTGGTCATGTTAGAGAGAAGTAATTTCTGGATACATAATGGTTGAGCATCCCTCCATAGCTATCCAAAATCAATCAATCAAAAATAGAAAATCAATATTATCGTTTGATAAAGGTAATTCCTTTTGGAACCAAAATTTTCTAGATAGCATTTACATCTTTTAAATCAGTTCTGGAATTTCCCTTTCCATATCTAAACATTGATCAAACTATCAAAGTGCCAATTCAAATGCAATCTAAAGATTTGTAATGAGTTGCATTCATTCCAATAACATGGTGGTCCAGTACAACAATTTTTATTTTCTACAGAAATATCTTCTCCTTTTACCTAAACCTAATCAGCCAAATGGCAATTAACTAGCAAGAATTTCCGATTCCCCTTTTTTTTCCATCAAGAGCCAAGAGACATGTTGAAGATGGCAAATGTACTTGTGATGGACGAAGTTAAGAGCTATCTGGACCCTATAGTCTGGGTACATACTAGAACATATTTAAGCAGTTATATTCACATTTGTGTATACAATACTATGATAGTTAAACAGGCTAAAATTGATAACAGGTTTATATAGCAAGAGATATATAATTATTTATCAGAAGCACAATATTAGCTGAGCAAAAAATGAAGTTTTACACAACATATAAACATGAAAACTGTTCAATAGAAACAAAAGATAATTAGACTACCTTAAGGGACATGAGTTGCAGAACTTTGTGCAACACCCGCATCCTATGATTTGCATAGCTGCTGTTCGCAGGAAGCTTATTGACTCTCTCCATTTCTGCATGTACCACTGCCTTCTTTTCTTCACAACTTGTAGACATCCATTGAACACTTAATCTAGAAGCCTTCTTTTCCTCATTAGAATGATCAAGGGCATTGCTGCCCTTGAGATGATCAAATGAATCCAGTGTGCCAAGGCTGCATTGAAGGAAGAGAAGATGACAGGACAAGCTTGTCAGACTTTGACCTTGAAAATTTTCAAGAGAACTGTAGGACTTGACAAATTTAGAAGCATGCACCAGATAGATGGCTGAATAAGGACTGACAGAAAGAATAAGAAAACTGTTCAAGATATTTTAAAAGAAGCAAAGATAACAAATCCTCCATGGCAGCTGTAGTTAATAATTTGATAGGCTCATTACTGTCACATAGGTCTGAAGAAGGAATTACTTCAACAAGATGGCTCAAGATACTCATAGATTGTGCCAACTGGAAACTATAGATCAAGAACTACCAGGAAGAAATCATTACAATTCCAACAGCATAGGATTGATAGGAATGTGTGGTGTAAATCTAGGAATGCAGAATCATATAGCAATAAAAGGAAATTAAGGCAGAGATGGTGCTGAGGCGAGCTCATGTGTATAGCCTTAGGCTGAATGCATCTGTACAGTAATAGCTTTGTCCAAACAGTACTCGCCCAAGTACTGTTGCTGAAAATACAGAAAGGGCAGGGCAGAGAGGGGGAATCCACCCCCCATTTTCCATTTTCTTGAGCAAAGGAGCCCGAAATCCCGGTTTTTAATCCCAACTTTCAGATTATGCTAAAAAATCATTTGCAAGCATTCAAGAAAATAACCATTATATTTTCTCCCATTTTTCAGTACAGGAATTGGTTTGTCTGAGTTTCAAAATACAATGGCCGGTCTTTAATGAAAATCAAACCATCCGATGAAATTTTCTATTATTTATATTTTTCATATATTTTTAGATTTTTACAGTTTAATTTTTCATTTTCTCCCTTTGTGGACTCAAACAAGACCCACTCGGCCCGACCAAGGGGCAAGGCCCAAGCCCGAGCAGAGGTTTTATCAGTACTAATCCATAGATGGGAGCAGCCTTTATGGCAGGCGTAGAGGTCTCACTCGCATTCTCTACTACCAGCCAGCCCAGATATGGATCCAACTTAGCATCTCTTCATGTTGAATAGCCAGAAGTCAAGGCAATGGCATACGATAAAAGCACAATGGGTGGGATAACACACCATGTGATTAACTAAGAGCGTCAACATCTCTATGTCAAGGGTGGTGCATAAAGAGAAATGAGTGCAGCTCGCCCCTTCAAGCAAGCCTTTCTCTTCTGTCTACCAAAGGCAGATGGAACCAGAGAAAGGGCTTATATGTATCTCGTCCGTTTCTCAATCCGATCGGAGAAGCCGGTTAGGCTGATGAACTGGAAGAGGTTGGAAGTTGCATTCGACCCGTATCGATATGGAGTTCCCCCAGAATCTCTACTAGTACAAGCCCTTTCTCTGGTTTCATTCGTCCATTCCCCCTTGGCAGGGACTGGACTGGTAGTTAGTAGCTAAAGATAAGGAGTCGATTGATATGGAGCCTTAGTGAGGCAGGGCTTCTTTTCAGAAAGATGTCATGGATGGGTTGTAAGCCATTTCTTATTAGAGAAACCCCCATTCCTTCAATGCTGACTCCTACTTTAGCAGGATTTGGATCACGACCATTTTTTTCTAGGATCGCCGAAGTGACTCTTTTTCCTCGAATCCAGGGTATTGTTTCTAAATTAAGTACTTCTAAATTAAGATGAAAATACTTATACATGAAACCTACCAAATTTGGATTTGTGCCTGCACTTTTGGAGAGACATCCACTGCACGAGCATTGATTAAATTTAAAACATGAAGCATGTGAAATGGTAATCCAAGACAAACAAGGAATGAAATCCAGACAACAATATTGCACATGAACAATAACTAGCTCATGCCTGGAAGCAGCAGCACACTTTTAAATTAAATGAACTTTAGCTATGGAATTAAGTCAAGTCTGATCTATAGAACTCTAAGTCAAACTCAACCAAGATCTACCAGGTGGTAACATGCCTTCATACTTTTAATAGTAACAAGTAAAACTATCTTTCTCTAGGTATGGGAAAAAACCATCTTCCGCTAGGTGTGTACCATAACAAGCTTTTGGTTTATAAATACAATGAAAAAGAGAAGATAGAAAGAGAAATAAGTGCATAAGCAGATCTGGAGAGTCCTATGGCTTCTTTGTATTATAATAGAATAAAAAACATGAAGACACTCTAAAACGGTTTCAGGAACATCTAATTCTAGTTCAATTAAAAGATGACGCAATGAAAAAGTGGAGGAGGGGGAAACATCTAAACGAAGGATAGGCTGCTCAGTTATTACAACAAAGGAGCATTAGTTCAATTGCTGCTTGCTAATACTCCTCTTTCTCTTTTCTTTTCTTTTTTTTTTTTTCCAAAATTGATATCAAAGGGAGAACAGAAGTCCCATAAAATTTGATGCACGGATTCCAGGCACCTAAAATAGGCTACATATATAAAATGATTTGTTTCCTTTTGCAAGATTGAAACGTCAAAATAAGTCAAAGGGAAATATGAATTATTCTTTTCTGCATACACGAAACTAAAAACCACCCCATTTGACATCATCATGGTCGAAAGTTTGGCAAAGTCAATAAAAACCAAAAAGAGCAAAGGCCCAAGAAACAAAGTTCAACCTGATATATCAATAAGCTATAGAAAGACCCACAGAGAACTAGAGTTTGATGCGATGCTAGTTTCAAAACAATTTACAACTGCAAAAAGATAAAGCTAGTTACGATGACCAGAAAAAGTAAAAAAGATAAAATAAAATAAACAAGGATACCTTCAGTAATAAAATAAACAAGGATACCTTCAGTACAGTAGTTCCTACTCTACAATTTTTGGTTTGGCCTAACATTAAGAGATTTTTCACAAGTTCCTTACCAGTGGATAGCCTAGTTAGAAGTAAGACACCTAGGGCAGTGTCTGCTTCCTCACATGGTCAACTCCACATCTCCATTAAGGACTTCTAAGGCTGAGGTCTAGTTTCTGATTCATTATAACAGATGGGTTTTTAATTAGTTGTGAATTTCAGTAATCTATGCCAAGATTAAAGTTGATAATTAGGAGAGGCTAGCAATAGCCTTTTTACTTGAGGCCTTGATTAGCTTAAAAGAGGTACTGAAGGCAAGATTGGAAAATGAAAACTTCATTGATGTACAATAATATGATTAACAAAGGACTGTTTAGCCTATTTATCGCAATATGTTTCAGTTCATCCTAAACCCAAGTAAATTTTATTGCCTTAGAAATTCACAATAAATCTTACTACAATAAGACAATGCAAGTTTTTTTTCTTTTGGGAAAGTATACAAAGAAACTATTTACTTTTAATACAAGGAGGTCACAATCACTTTCGTTCGTCAGATTTCAAATCGGGTAGTTGTGAATGCATCATTACCTAGACTCAAACTTTAAAAAAAAAAAAAAAAAAAATTTGAACTTTGTGACACACCCCAAGGCATCCAATCTGACATCTAATAGCTGGTAGCAATTGTGACCTCCTTGTAACAAATATAAATGGCCTCACAGGATACAATAATCGCTTTTCTAATAGTTGTACCCGGATTTTACTTCATAAAAACTCCTGTTTTACAGTTCTGGCTTATCACAATGAGTGACATGTTAATTTTCAAGTTCCAACTACTGTTGCATTGTAGTCTCAGTGTATTTGCAACTTTGGTGAATAACATCATCAGCAATTAGCAGTTTCACTGTTTCAGTTCTTAGACAACACGATGATGCCACCAGACAGAAAAGACTGCATTGCACTTCTAATGAATCCACCAAAAGAAGGTAAGAAAACTAGAACTAAATAAGCCGAATGCTTCACTGTTCATTCATTGTAATTTGAAACTGAGAAGAAAAAAAAAGTTAATGTAGAATATATAAAGTACCCAATTTCCTTTGGATACTTCCGATTGTAAGGTCAAAAACTTGCAACTAAATACTAATTTCAACAATTGAAAATTCTGTAAGGAACTACACCATAGCATGTGAAATCCATGTAACCCATTAGTTTAGAGACCATTAAGTTAATGAAAAGAAGGGTGCAGAGCCGGGCAGGGTACTCGTGGCTGAATACTTGACATGAACAACAATACATAATGAAGAGGATAACGACGTTAGAAGTGCGGATTTTTCATAAAGAAAAGTAGTGGCCATGTTTTGCTCAATACGAAGAAAAACTCTAGGGTTTTTCATCTTTGGAAATTGAAAATGCGAAACCAGAAACCCTAAATACCTGTAATCGGAACCTTGTACTGAGCACCGAACTTTACTTCAACAAAACAATATACCTGGAATTGAAGCATTCCCTTTATGCATAAACCCTATTGACACGTTTCTCCATGCTTTAATATCTTACAAACACAATTTCAATTAACTTCTCATACTCAAGAATCAGAGCAATGATCAGTATGAAATAGCCCATATCCAAATCCCATTTGTCTATAAATATATTCAAAACCCTAATCCAACGGCAAACATGCAAAAACAAATGCCTATCTAATACTTGGAAAAACAGCGATCAACAAAAAGCCATAGCATACTACATGAACTGAAATTTACCTTTTCTTTTCCATTAAACACAAGAGCTATTCCAAATCAGCTCTCAAGAGTCCTAGCTTTGGTATCTGATTCATGAACCCTAGCGACCACATTATACTAAATTTGTTCCCGTTACAATTTTTTTTTCTAAACTTAGTTAATACTCAAGACCCTAGATTCAACTCCCTGAACCTAATTCGCGCAATGGTTAAGAAACCTTAGCCAGTCAGCGATCGGAAAGAAAAAAAATGGAGAAAATAATTTCAAGGTAATAAAGAATTTTCGTTAATTGGAATTTCATTAGAAGAATCGAGAATGCAAAGCTTACATTGTATAAAAAAAAATTCTTCCAATTCAAGGTGCCGCTTAAAGCCGAAAACCGCGAGAAAATGTCGGAATTTTAATGTATGGAGAGGAAAAGCAATTATTTCAATTATTTTTTCATATAAGTTGCCAGCCGAAGAACATTCTAGACTCTAGAGCCTCTACAGGGGTTCAAAGTTTAAAATTTATCTTTCTAATTTACTTAACTTGAGTCTATTTATTAAGCTCTTCAAACTTTGCAAGGATATGAATTATTTAATTTTATGCGAAACAAACCATCCTGTCTAAAATTAACATACTATAGATAATATTATTTTTGTTAGTTGTTTGGCAAGTATTTTTTGTTGAGTGTGGTTTATATAAAGTTACAACTTTAAACCATCAAAGTGAGACATAATTCTAATTTTTATCATAAGATGCAATTTTGGTGTCAAAAAATCTTAAGAGTCCTGCGAATCCATTTTTATCTCTACTTATAAAAGTTTGAACTCCAAAAATAATTCAAATTAAGTAGATCTATAACCACATGAAAATCTTAAAAAATATGGTCGAGATAATGTGTTGCAAGATGCACTTTTTTTGGGATTTGAAATCCTTTTTTTTTCATTTTCATGCATCTCAAACAACTAGATGGCCCTCTAACATCCAAACAACCTTTTCTGATATATTTTTGGGGTGCATCTTAATTCTACATTTTAAAGTTTCAACCTTATATAAACTTCTTGATTTTATTATATATAATATTATTTAATTTTTTAATTTTTGTTACGATTTCCTTCTATTTTTAGCTATTTTTTTTCCTATAAATATTGTTTTAGCAAATCACTTTGAATAAAGTAAAATAACTTTTTAAAAAGATAAATTTGCATGTAAAATTTAATTATCTATAAGTTTATCTCAAATAACTTTATGATGGACACTTCCACACAATAGGTACTTAATTATCAAGGTTAAATTTACTTAAGCATTGAATTATTAATGATAACACCTCATCGAATATAGGCACAAAATGTTGACTTTGTAAGGTATCAAGGAGCAGTGACTAGCAATTTTGCTGAAGTATCAGCCTTCATGGTACCTGTTCTATAGCAATGGACTATTTATTCATGCCAATTACTTGTAAAATCTCTGATGTGGCCATCCTCCATGGCACTTTTAGCATTAGAGATATTGCTAGAGTCCCTTTCAATAGTAATTCCATTTTTGTTGTTATCTATGAGTTGAACTTCAAGTACCGGTGTTTTTGTTTCTTTTTTAAAAAAAAAAAATTATATTAATAGGTAGTAATGGAACTCAAGGCATAATGTTGTGTTACTATGCTACCCTAACCACCTAAGCATTAGGTCCATTCCTATTCTTGCCTGGGCAAGACAGGAGAATGTGAGAACAAAGGCTCCTTGTCAGAGTCCCTTCTTCATCATGAATTTCTAAAACCCCGGGCCTCATCCCATTAACATGTGGATTGGTCAATCTTTAATCAAGTTATGAGTCTCATGGGCTATGGAGATTCACATATGCATATCCTCGTTTTTTTCTCTGTTCTCATAAATAGCTCCCCTATGGGCTACTTCCCTACTTTCGGAGGGCCTCGACAAGGTGACCCTTTCTCTCCCTTCCTTTTTGCATTCGTGGCTCAGGTTTTTAGTAGGTCTATCTCAAAGCTTTATACTCTTTGGTCTTTCCTTAGATACTTCAAGTTGCCTATAAAGATAACTATTAACATGGCTAAATTCAAGCTTATGGGCATTGGAGTCTGTCGATATCATCTCTTCTTTGTCCAGACAGACTAAGGTGTGCCGCAAAATCCCTCTCAATGAAATACCATGGCCTCCCCCTCAGTGTTGGTAAACCCTTTTTATAGAATGGCCGTTGAAGGTGTATCTCTAGGCTTCACAATCGTGGCTGAGGTTTTTGGAAGGTCTAACCTCCTCTAAAACATTTTCATAGATAACTTCCAATAGGAGGTTAGACCTATGACACGGCCGCTTCCTATCGCTTGGGGCTCAAATCACTTGTATCAAAGCCGTTCTTTGCAATCTCCCTATCTATTATATATCTCTCTTTCTTATGCTGGGTAGTGTTGGAAAAAATCATCTAACTCTTTCTTGAGGCTGGGCGAGAAATCTAATAGGAATACCAACTTACTAGTTTGGGATATAGGTGTGGATAATTTTATTTAAAATTTTGTGTACAATGATTACAAACACCCTAGTTGCCCCATTTCATATCTAATGATCAATAATAATTATGATATCTTTCTGCTAAAAATAAATAATCGTAGTGCATAGTATTTTGAAAGAGATTGTCTGTAAAGAGACCATTTATTATTTGTACATGGAGGCCACAATCATTCTCACTCATTAGATGTTAAATTTGATAGATTGAGATGAGCCACGAGGTCCGAGAATATATTTTTTTGACCTTTATGTCTATTCAATAACACTTCTACAACCACTCATTTTGAAATTTAAGGGACAAAAATGATTGTGACTCTCATGTAGAAAAGATCAATGGTCTCTTTGTAAACTATCCCATTTTGAAATGTTTTTCAATTTAATTAAATAATTAATCTCTAGCTATTTTAAAATAACTCTAACATTGATTATGTGAACAATGTGATATCACAGCAAGCTAGCCCGCATAGAAACCACGTCCCATGACATTATAGGCAATCATGAGACGTTAAGGCCGTTCACGGGATAGGATGTACTTAGTAGCCTTCAGAGTTTAGATTGGTATCCATCACCTGATCAATGGTTCTTGATAAAATATTTGGACTACTTTTATTTTATGGAAATGTATATAAATAGACCATTTATTTTTAATATAAAGATGTCACAATCATCATTGACCGTTGGATTTGAAATCGGGCGGTTAAAGCTGTGTCATTAATTGGGCACAATGCCCAAGATGAAATTTCTTGAATATTGCAACACACTTTCATCTACAAGATTTTTCATTCAATGACTAAAAATAATTGCGATTTTTTTGTACCAAAAATAAATAATCTCATAGTATAAATCCTTTATTTTGTTTATTTAGGGCTTTATGGTTTTGTTCGCATAGCACACTCACACGACCAAAGACCTGTGACATTAAAAAAAAAAAAACGTTCACGCATGTGAGCTAACTAATATGGACCCAACCACAAAAGAAGCCAATGGAAAATACTAAAAATTAAAGGATGGATTGCAATCATACTATTTTGTAAGTCAAATAGAATCTACACGAGGATGACAAAGGTATCAAATTTCCTATTTCAAAGGAGAGCAACAAAACAAAATAAATTGTGAATTGAGGAAGAGTGAAAAGACGGGGAGAATAAGAATAAAAAACACAAATAAAAGAAGGGAAAGGTTTCTACGCTTCCCTACACCACATAAGTTCTATTTTCCCCCTATCCAGTCCAATTTTCATCAAGAGCCGCGCATCGTTTGATCTTAGATCCAATATCTCAAAGTATTTTATTTTTAGTTTTTTTATAGAAATTGTATGAATGTGAAGTTTGGTACGTGCTATCTTCTCATTGGGGAGCACCTATAAAAAATATTAAAAATAATTTTTCGATAAATTATAATGATCAAAATACCCCTTTAAATTTTCAGGGGTATTTTGGTCATTTTATTTTATTAAATTTTTTTTTTATATATATTTTTCGTTAGTGTAAGTTTAATAGAGGAATGACGTCCAAAATTTGGTGTCAAAATAATTTATAAAAATAAAAATAAAAATAAAATAGTGTAGAGATGTCATATTGTGATTGGGGCAATCTCAGTCCTCCATTCAGAATAGACGATTGGATAAGAGGGAGGATAGAATTTCTATGCCGTAGGGAAAGCATAAAAAGCTTGCCCATAAAAAGATAAAGCAAAATAGAGCAGTGGAATGAAGTATATTCTATGTATACAAATTCAAGGTAGAAAGCCGGAAGGAGTGAGGTTCATATTACATAATGAAATGAGAAAATTAAACGGATGACTACCTTAATATATGGCCCTTATATTATAAGTCCGTCATTGTTTTATTTATTAATTGCACTTTAGTTTTGCTTGAAAAAATAGAATCAAATCCAATTTATTTTTGGGAACTAAGAAGCAATATCTTTTATTACACATCTTACACTCAACTTTCACTTTTTATTCACTTTTTAGTAGCATATGATATACTCTCTTTTTTTTATATACATCGAGCTAAAATTTGTCGTATTTTAAAATCATTATACTCCTATAAAAAATACGCAAAATAATTCAATAATAAAAATTTATCCCGTCAAGATTCATAAATATTTTTGTAATTTACTTTTTTTATATTTATTTTCTAACTAGTTATGATTTATGAACTCAATGAGAGTATGATCCATTATAAAGCAAAATAGCATACTAGGACATATGTAGCTAACCCCAATTAGTTAAAAAAAAGCTTTGATGAAGATGATAATCTAGTTACGAATAGAAACATACACACCCCAAATTTAAAAGCAATTGATGCGGATAATACAAAATATTGAAAACTACAATTATTTATTTATTTATTTTATTTTTTGAAAAAAAGCTGCCCCATTGTTTGGAGCATCACAAATGATATGGTCTCATTGTCCTGGTAAGCAATGCCCTACCCCTCTAGCGTTGTCCGTTGTCAACTGACAGCAGGATAGGGAGAAGAGGCAAAAGAAAAAAACGTTCGCTAATAAGACAGTTGTATGGGCAGCAAATGTCGGTGCAAATAGAGAGCAGATCTAAGACCCGTTTAATGCCAGTGCCACTCGGGAGCTTTTGTTGTTTTAATTATGACCATCTTGCCCTACTTATAATGATGGAATGCCTTTTGATTTTTCGAGGGTCGTTTAAATTTCGATGAATTTCAGCCTCTTTTCTTGATGAAATTGAATCATCTCCGCCTTAGAATTACATAAAAATCATATTTGTGTTTTCTCCTTTTCTTGGCGGAAACTCCGGCAAATTCTGGTGGTGAATAGTGGCTTTTAGATTTTATGTGAGGTGGAGGCGTATAACATTTGACATCAAATTTTTGTTTTAAATTATTTGGGGTTGGCTATATAAATCATGATCAGTCATTATGCTCTATCAACGACCATACCCTCAAGCAAAGTGATAAATTTTCATATAGTTTCTCAATATTTTCAACCTTTCTTTTTGAGTCTATCTCAAATACTTTTTTAGCATTCTACTTGAATTAACTCGCACCTCCTATGTTCTATTTAGGTATGTGTTGCACATGGCCAGCCCACATAAGTCTATTTTCTCTCGTCTCTATCGCCTATTGGAGCATCACCTAAGTTCTCCCCATATATTTGTTTTGAATTCTAATTCATTCTTATCTTGTCACTCATCCATCTCAACATCATCGTCTCAGCTACACTCATTCTATGATTATATGGTTTATTGACCAACCTATATTCTGCTCCAAAAAGCAAAGCTGGTCTCATCGTTGTCCTATAGAACTTGCCCTTCGATTTCATTAGTATGCGGCAATCACATAAAACTCCCGTTGCACTTCCCCACTTAGGTATATAATATTTGACATCTATTATCAAATTGAGTTAAATTACCTAAAAAGTTAGGGACTACTTAGGAAAAAAAAAAAAATTCATATTTTAAATAAAAATATTTATAACAAGACCATTTAGTTTTGGGAAGAAGGAGTCACAATCTTCATCGTTGTTAGATGGGAAACCAGGCGATTGAGAGTGCACCATTAATTGGGCACAAAGTCTAAAATATGTTTTCTTAAACTATACAACACACTTTAGCAGTCGGTTTTCATATTTGATGGTTAAGTATAAGCTTGACCTGCTTATATAATGAAAGGTTTTTATAGCACATTATTAGAAAATTTCAATTTTCTTACAATTTCGATTTCGAACAAATTTTTTAGATCGAACTTAACATCTAAACCAAAATTCCGTGTATTACTATCTAGTCACTCAATCTACTGTTGAGTCACATCTGGAAATTTAGATTCTATAGCCTTTGCTTAGGAGTGATTCATTTGAAAACAAAATGAGGACAAATTTGTTATTCTAGATTAATAAATAATGGCTTGCATATTGCCGAGGACTAAATTAATTTAGAAAAGGACAACATTTGTATATAAGGTTGAGGCTCTGAACAATCAAATGAAGGCGTACCTAAAAAACTCACGGTTGTTTTGATGTCGAAAAACCATTAACTCGATCATCTCTACCTCCAAATGTATAAACATAAAAAAAAATAGATTTCAAATCTAAGAAGTAGTGTATCTTATAATGCATTATATAGGGGACATGTTTATATTGAGCCGAGGCACTAAACAATGAAATTGGAACTTACGACTTAAATCTCACTAGAAGAGGTTGTTTTGATGCCTAAATATCTTCAAATTGATTATCTTGACAACAAGATGTATGGACATGAGAAAAAAGTAGATTTTAAGTTTTGGAAATAATGTATTTTGTAACGTATTTTTGGACTGTCAATTTTTTAGATTTTCAAATTTTCATAGATCTATCGATCTACACTGTTTTTTAAATTTAAAATTTATAAATAAAGATGAAAATATGTTTAAGGCTATCAAAAAGATTTCCGGTATTGAAACCACATCTCTCAATATTATTTGAAGGTAGGCTCTAATTTGTTTGTTTAGAACCTAGGCTCTATACAAACCGCACCAATTATGTAGCGCATCAATTTTTAATATTTTTAAAGGTTCGTAGATCGATCGACATTGTTTTTAAAGTTTTAAATTTCATACCTAGATATAATTTTTTTTTCAATCCATCAAAAGTAATAAAGAATTATCTTTCAACACTGTGCCTCAGACGGAGTTTGCGGCCTCACCTTATACAAACCGCACCTTTTAATAAAATAAAAAGACCCGATGCGTTCGCCGTAAAAAGGGTCGATCCAAGCTTTGGTGCGACCTCATTGGCTTCGGGCTCTTCCTTTAGCAGGTTATCGCCCGAGACAATCGCTGATCTCTCTCTTTTCCCGTTACAAGGTATGCTGATCTCTCAATCTCTCTCTCTCTATTTCTCTTTCTTTATTAATTGTGGCCATTTTGTGGGTTCTGTAATTTTGTGGGTTCTGTAATTTTGTGGGTTCTGTAATTTCTTTTGAGATTGTTGTATATTGGCTCTTGATTCTTCTGGAGTTGTATTTAATTTGTTGATCTCTTTGTTTATAATGTGGTTGATTCCCATTTTTTATCTTCTCTGTGTATAAAGATGGTTTTGGGATTATGTGATTCTCCTCGTTTTATGCATTTGGTTTTTTTTTTTCCGTTTCTTTCGTCCTCTCACATTGGTTGTTCTGTATGTTGAAATGGCATATGACCAAATCTTGATAATTAACAGGGCATCTGTGGATTTGGGGCCATAATTTATTGATTTGAGTTTTGAAGATCTTTGAACAAGGGAATTGGGGAACCATGAATTCTAATGCTAGAAGAATGGACAATTCAGGAATGGGTTCTGTGAACCATAACAAATTCGATTTCGATTTTGGGTTAGGAGGAGCTTCCTCAAATAACCAGGCCACAAAACCCTTGAGTAATAAAAGACAACAGAATCCACCTTATAAACCCTCTTGGACTCACCAGCCCATCTCTAACCCTGCACCCAAACCAACCCAATATGGGTCTAGTGGGTCTGGACTCTCAGGCTTATCGAACCCCACTTCTATGGTGGGTGATATTTTTGGGAAGAGCTGGACTACTTCGACCCCTTCAAGCTATAAAACGAGCGGGTTAGTTGGAGATTCCAAGGCCAATTTGTTTGGGGATTTACTTGGGCCTGCTTTAGGACAAGGGAAGAGTAATGCTCCTCTTAAGGAAACAGCCCCCAAGAATTCTTTCTCAATGGGAAACTTATCTGATGCTCTTCCAAAGTCCACTCCTTTAAAGAGTAGTAGTAGTTGGGGTTCAGTGGAAAGTTTAGGAAGTCTTCCTAGCCAACAGCCCATGAACAAGGGTAATATTAACACCAATAGCCCTTCAGACTCTATGACGACTGGTATTGGTGCTTCAAAGAGTGACCCTTTTGGTAATTTATTTGACTTTGGGTCGAAGTCCTCCCCGGCCTCTATAGGACAAAAAAATCCATCTTCTTCCAAGACCAATGCTGCGTTTTTCGGAGATTTTCAGAAGGCATCCCCGGTAAACCAGTCTTTTGCCTCGAACCCAATTCCAGGCATGGCTGGAGGCAATATGTTTAGTGCTGGTTCTGCTACTAAGAGCTCAGATCCTTTTGCTGGGGTATCCTCAAGTTCGAATTTAAGACAGGCAGATGCTTTTAGTATGCCAACCCATGATTTCTCTTCTCAAAACCAGGCTCCAAAGAGCAAAATTGATGATCCCCTTGATACTCTATTTTCTTCGTTAACGTCATCAGCTCCTGTTGTTGAAAACCCACAAAGCCAGGCCTTTTCGGGGGATGACGATTGGGGTTTGGGTTCAGAGTTTGGTGGGAATGATGAGGGACCAACAACTGAGCTTGAGGGACTACCACCTCCACCTGCTGGTGTCTCAGCTTCGATGGCCAAAAGCAAAGGGATAGATAATCAGAAACAGGGTCAGTATGCTGATGCTATAAAGTGGTTATCATGGGCTGTTACACTGATGGAAAAGGCAGGTAATTCGGATTCGATGGCAGAGGTTTTGATGAGTAGAGCATCTTGTTACAAGGAAGTTGGGGAGTACAAGAAGGCTGTCGCTGACTGCTCCAAGGTATCATTTCTCTCTTATTTTCCTTTCTTCTTAGGGGTTGTGTACTGTACCATTGGGAATTGCAGACATCAGATTCCCTTGAAATGATGATGATGATGATGGAGGCGTTTTTTTGGGGGGGGGGGGGGATGAAATGCCTTTCTCATAGTATTATAAATAATATATTTGTTATTTTCCTTTCCATTTCTTTTTCTGTGATTATATTTTCTCGTCATAGGATTAAGGCATGTGCTATCTCTTATGGAATGATGGCCTATTTCTTCTTCTTCTTCTTCTTCCTTTCTTTTATACATCGTTTTTGCTGATTCTGAAACTTCTCTGTGTTTCAGGTACTGGATCATGATACAGCTAATGTGTCAGTGCTATTACAGCGTGCCCTTCTCTATGAGAGCACTGAAAAGTACAAACTTGGTGCTGAGGACTTGAGAATGGTTTTAAAAATTGATCCTGGGAACAGATTGGCGAGGAATACTTTACACCGTTTGGCAAAGTTGGCTGACTAAACATTGCCAGAATTGTTTGAGCGTATTGTTTTCTCACGTCCTTTCAATAATCTTTCTTTTCATTTTGATAATTGATTTTCTACACATTTTGGTCCTGTATTCGGTTGAGACTTAAAATGCCCGCTGAGATGCACTTGAAAAGGTTTCTTTGTGTAGTAGATATCTGTATGTGTGGGGTTTGATAGATGCCATGCTGTATTTCTATCTAGGAAGAGTTGTTTGAGTTATGTACTATTATTTGATAATATTAATGGAAATCAATGAGGTGCATAATATTTGGATTTCTTGTTAATTATTAGAATTTTCTTAGTTAAGATCGAGCTGAGAACAATTATCACTTTATCAGCATTTGGAAGCTCTATGGTTTTTCTGTATTTTATTGGCAATTTTGTATCTGGAAGTTGAAGAGTGGACTTTTGCGCGTGAGCAGCACTGCTCCTTATATCTGGATTTGATCATGCAAGGTGACCTCTTGCTTTCCAAATATTTCTTAATGTTCATTCATTCTCTTGGCCGATTATAGTTGCACTTACTCCTTTCTACATCTGCTTATGTTTGTAAAGAAAATCGTGGATATTGCAGGTATTCTTGTGGAAAAAGTTAAAAAGAAAAAATACAAAGGCTTATACACCTGATATAATTATGTATATGCTATCCAACTCAGATATGCCATAATCTATATGACATAATATATACTGACTCACCACCCTCAAAATTCTTTGCAAGACATAGACTGAACCCTACCCTCAAAGTCTTTAGTAAGAGAGAATTTGTGTGCTAAAAATCTGATGGTAAGATGATGACATTACCTTGGGATGAAAGTATTTGTATCTGCTGGTTTACAGATAATTGATGAAGTGTGATAACTCCTGTTGTTATCCATTTGGAAACAATGCAACAATCGACTCAATGTATTTCGTCCACAATGAGAGGGGGATCCAAAGTGATCTGATTGGAGTTCAGATTATCATAATAAAGCAGCGTCTCAAAAAGATAAGGTGCAAGCTCATCTCTTGGAGACGACCCAAAGTTACACTTTCTCTCTGTAACCATTCTTTGAAAACTTAGACTCAGCCTCCGACTGAGATTTCCTTGTCAATCCGAGGAGTCGTATCTGTACAAAATATGCCTCTTCTTTAGAATATCTTATTTCTAAATTTTGTCAAAAAAGAAGCTTTTTTTGGGAGGTCATCGAGGTTGTTCAAGTCTTGCCATGATCCCTGTGGATTTTTATAAAACTTACACTTTTCTAAATATAGGAGAATTGCACGTTTATAACATAAGAGGTGATTCAATTCAGCAGATTTGCACGAGTCTTGGATCCCAAACCCATGTTTTTAACCTGCGTATAGAAGTTGTTTAGTGGTACTTCACCTTGGTGTTTGATTTAGGAGCAATAACTATTTTTTTATCTTAATGTTTAAAAAGAAAAAATGATTTTCTGATCTTACAAGAATTAAGAGAGGTTTCTTGTAAGACATAGTAGCCAGAGGTTGATTTGATGTTAAGGCAATTAGCTCACTCCTGACGAGCGTTAGTTGTGTGTCAAAGTTGGAGGGAGAAGACAGTCCATGGCTTGGAGTTTCTTCAATGTAGTGAATAAGTTTGTGAACTGTTGTAAGATGAGGCTACAATGGACATTGGTATGGCCATGAATTGTCTAACTGCATGATGTCTAGATGTCATGTTCGGATATAAAGACTGTCGAGTACTTCATTCTTAATTATCTACCATCGTGTTATTTGTGAGAGCAATTTATGAAGTGAGATCTAGTTAAGTACCACGCAACAAGTTCTCTTATTTGTATAGAAGGTACATATGGAAGGTATAGAATAATATATGCATTACACAACAATGTCACATGCTGTCTCAACTGTTTGTTCTCAACCACTGACCATTGTGATGAATTGTTCCTCGGCTTACAACTGTCATGACAGTGGATGGTTGGGGCTCCTTATGGTATAGTTTTTTGTGCTTTACACGTAGCATGGTATATTTTACTTTTTCAAAGTACAAGTAGGTGGGAAATGGTTAGACTACGAGGTTCCTGCTGGGATCATCGGATTGGGGAGCAAACACTTAGCGGAGGACGGCCTGAGATGTTTTCTCTGGCACTTCAACCAAACATTAAAGTGGCCGAAACAGTGGAGGGGTGTTGGGCATCAAATTAGTTGGACTCCAAGCCTTCAGTGAAGATTGAAGGAAGAAGTGACTCAAGCCTGCACAGATATGTTACATGGCTTGTACCAGATCTGTTTTCAACCAAAACATGGCGACAATTTAATATGATCACGAGACAGCGAAAGGGGAACTATCAATAAGGTCGATGTACTGGACAAACACTTGGAGTGCGGGAGGCAATTCTGTGGCCTGCAGGGCATGGTGCATTGCCTGATCACTTAAAGACCCGAGAGTTCACGTGGTTAGTGGCATTAGACAAGGTGCTAACTATTGATCATTTGATAAATGTAAGTATGCTTCTTTCAAATATATGTACGATGTGTAAAGGGGATGCAGAAACAATTTATCTTCATTCCTACATTGTCCCTTAGCTATGCAAGTATGGTCTTGTGTGTTTTAATTTTTTTAATTTTGTATGGATTGAACCTACATCAATGGAGAGCCTGCTGTCGAAATGGTTTACCTCACATTGCTGCAGATTGGACTCGTTCTCTGGAGGCTAACCCTATTAGCAATCCCATTTTTAATATGGTTGGAGAAGGAATAACAGTTGCTTTCATGACAGGAGACATGAAACGAGTGGAATCAGGAGCGGATTAGGGCCAATGTCATATCATGGGCTAGATCAAGAAAAGAGCTCTGAGTATTTGGTGTCTGACTTTGAGACTAAATGAAAGGAGATTATAAGAGCAAGGCACCAAGAGACACCCATATCAATGAAGTGGGTTCAGCCACCAGGAGGCAGGGAAAAATTGAACTTCGAAGGAAGCTGAAGAGGGAACCTGCGACCTGCAGTTGGTGGTGGTATATTGAGGTAGCAATTGGTGAGGTGTTGATGACTTACTCGGGGCCTCTCCTCACATTTGATTGTAAGGAAGTGGAGGCTTGGTGCCCTGGTCAATTTTATATGGAACTTAGAAACATAGAGGGCACATCAGATCAGTAATTACAGAGGGTGATTCTAGATGTATTATAACTTGGAGAAGTGATCAGGATTCTTGCCTCTGTTGCCCTCGTAGTTTTTCGGAAGAATTTGGGCACTCACAAAGAATTTGAAAGCATTATTCCATCACATATGATGCAAGTCTGATGAGGAAGCGGATGCACTGGCTCAAGAATGGGTCTCTAAATCAGTGATGGCAGTGACTTTGTTTAGTAAATTGAGGGTGACGTGTAGAGTCTGTTGTAAATAGAGTCAAGTTTTGTCATTTGAAAAAGAAACTTATACATCAATAATAGAAGTCAATGTTCAAAAAGTTGGAGGCGCCAGCCTAGGCGTTTTGGGGGCCTCCCTAGGCGAGCGCTTAGGAACAAGGGCTGGCCTGGCCACCACGAATGGGTTTAGGCTCCTAGGGAGTTCTTAGGGCAGGGGTTGAGGCCACCTCAGGAGCTCTTTGGGCAGTTTTCGGGCCCTAAAACCCCTGAAATTAAAAAAAGAAAAAGAAAAAAGAAATCCCACACATCATCATTCATCACATTTACATTAAAAAAAAGAAGTCCAAATTGGCATTTGGAAAATGGAAACAAAACTCAAATAAACTGATAAAATAACCATCAAAAGTCAAAGACTCAAAGCATGATGTCCACTGCCCACATGTGATGTATTACTCAGTAACTCAATGACAATTCAGTATCATCACCACTCCAAATAGACTCTGATAATGATGCCATGACATCATCATCCAAGTCATCCCTCTCTTCAACATATTCAGTAGCATCCCTTATCTCATATGAATTTGCTTCGTCCTCTTCATGCTCCTATCCCAATCTTGTCAACCTCTTCCCCTTCTCCTTCGTCTTCCCCTTCTCCTTCATTTGACTTTGAGATTGAGATCGAGCGGTTTGCACAGGGCTCAATGGTGTCCCAGCAGTCTCACAAACCTGGTCAGGTTAAGCCCTCTCCAAGGAATACCGCATCATGCCTAGCACCAACTAGCCACTCGCTAGTATCATTGGATTTGTTGCTGCTAGATCATGGCCTCTGTTTGCTGCAAGGTGTGGAATTCCATATTGGAGAGCAGAACATGCCATCTAGTATGCGAGCTTGCTTGTGTTTCATCCCTGGGGTTTCTGTTTTGAACTGGCCTCCTCCAGTTCTTCTTACTATTGAGGTGGTACAACAGTTAGCCCCCAGTTTAATGAAGCCATACTGTTAGTTGATTTCCCTCCTCATATCCAAGAACCTCCCTTTCACTGCCCTCCCGCTCATGATGGCACTCTTGCAGCTTTTGATTATATTAAAAGAAGACAAGGTCATTAGTCGTTTTTGCTGAAGTTTGTTCCTCATTGGTCACTTTTGCTGAAGTTTGTTCCTCTTCTTTGTATGGATGTATTAGATAAATGTTGGGTTGGTTAGGATATTTTAGAATTTTAAGAGATAGGATATCTTAGAAATTAAAGAGACAGGACTCCTAGTTTATTGAAAGCTTTCTAACTATTAGGGAGAGATTTGTGTGAGATTGAGAGAGAGAGAGAATTATGTAAATAAATCAGTTTTGGGTCTTGTGAAAAGATATTTGAGGTGGACTCATTTGCAGATCCTGAGAGAGGGTATATATTTTATGAGTAATGATCCTATGGGACCCTGCCACACAGAATGATATAGGACCCCAACGGATCATTGTTGAATCGAATCCAAATCTCAAGGTAAGTTTTAGCTTTTAAATGTCACTGGCAATAAGGGATCTCTCTCTCCCTTCAATCGTACTCTCCCCCTTATTCCTACTCTCCACGTAGGATTTACTTTTTTCCCTCTATCCCTCTCATTCGTACTCTCTCTTCCACCGGAAGAAACAGGGAGAAAACTACCTCTCTATCCCGTCCTCCTCCCCCCTCTCGCCTCCAAATTTCATTGCAATAAAGAGAGCTCAGACTTCAGACTATAAGAAAAATGAAAGAGGCATATTTCACGGCAACATAGAGAGAGAGATCGGACTTCGGCTACAATTCATGCAAAATCCCAACAACTCTCTTCTTTGAATTATCGCTGTTTGGATTCAAATCACAGGAGTCTTCATATGGATATATTAGGAAGCTTATGCAATTCTTCAACCCAATCTTCGATTTTTTGCTTTAATCGAAGCCCTTTTGAGGAGTAGAGAG